ATGGCATGGCCGCTGAGCCTGTGCGTCTGGAGCCTGTGCTCCGCAACGGGAGAGGCCACAACAGTGAGAGGCCCGCGTACCACAAAAAAAAAAAAAAAAAGAAAATGCTCATTGCTTTTCTTCACAGAATCTTGTGTCTTTCACCACCTCCCAAAGAGCTTGTGTTTCAAAAGGTCAGAATGTCTGGGGTCAGAAATAAGCTGCTTCCCATTCTGTTCAGCATCTACACACAGTAAAAAAGTTTATATGTTGCCACAAATTTTTCAAACAATTATTTCTTCCTCTACTTTCCACCTACCTCCTCTGAAATGCCAACTTAAAAGAAATGTCCTAGAACTGATTATCTAGAATAGTCCTCCCTTTTTCATATTAGATTTGTGTTAGTACATAAAAAATTAGTTGATATAGCTTTTGGAAAGTCTAGTTGGCAGCAGAGTTGGACAACAGATGGCCACTCAAGAAACTAGACCCAGAAAGGTGACTTACTCTGCGTGTATATTCTGATAAGAGTCCTATTTTGGGGATACCCTGAAAATCCTTGACCTAATGCAAAGCCCAAGAGATAGTGCAGAATAGGAACAATTATCATAACCTGATTAACCTGTTTAAGGCAAAATATACCATTTTAAACCAGCTATAGATAAGCCAGAAATGTACAATAAACAAATATACTGACAGCCAAACAGCAGCTTTTATCTTTTGCAAAAAAAAAAAAAGCAGGCAATGTGTAACAAGATTTTCTTAGATGTTTCCTAGAATTCTAAGTACTTTAAAGTGGTCCTAAAAATAGGTAACTTTCAGTTCCATACTTTGTTTCTGCAGAAACAGCTACTGGCAGGCTCATTTAAAAATAATTCTAAACAACTTTTTTTCTTAAAAAAAAAAGTTTATTCTTTTTATCTTTATGGGGAATTAACAGCTGACAACAATATCTAATAATACTATGTATAATGGACAATTTTTAGTTAAGAAGTTCTCCTTCGCTTTGAAACTTTAACTGAATTTTGAAATGTTAACCATAAATGTGTAATAACTGCTCTACTACAAAATTTATGTCACATTTCCAATGTTCCTCTTGCCTCAATGAAAATTACTGAAGGTCCTCCTTTATCATCAAAGCTCAAAGACATTTATGCCATGGCATATGGTTAAGTAGATGTGAAAACTGTTTATCATCATGTAGTAAGTTACACAAGATTCCAGTTCAAGTTGATAGATAAAACATAAACTAGATTTAAAGTGCTGTATTAAAAAACAAAAATAGTTTGCATTTTGGGGTAATTAAAATGTAGAGACCTAACACCAAAAAGAATGAAAAACGCGTGTAAGATTATCATTCTGTTTAGCTCTTTTTTTACTCTAAGCATGTAGTCTTATTCCAAAAATGACAGTTAGCTGGTCAAATTTATGCTTAAGACAGTTATCCATACTTAACCAGAGGTTTCAGAGACGATAACACCAGTCAGGTATTCTGAATTCTTTTATGTTAAATAGGAACATTTTCTCAATAGCACTCTTAAGTCACTTCTCATTTATCTTCCTCCTTAAGAACTGCATAGGCTTGTTTTAAATAGTTTAAATACCTGTAATAAACTACAGTTTGCTAACAGTAGAGGTACTCTGGTTAATGCTCAAAATGATGTGGCCAGAGGAAAAGCAAGCATTATTGAATATGAATGAATGCAGTCCTTACCAACACGAATTGAACCTTTTTTTTTCAATAAAAAAACTAGTCCAAAAAGTCTCATTCTATAAAGATTTATCGTTCCCAAATCACAGTGAAAGGAACTTAAGTAATTTACCAATTTTTTCTCCTATGTGCCTTAAAGATACCTCACTAAAAACTGGTATCTGACACAACAGAATGACATACGCAGAATGTAATATTGTAGTGACAGTACTGAGGTTGATTGTTACAGACATATTTAAGCTCTGAGTATTAAATGGTTACATCCTAATTATTTATATAGAACATTGGTCCAATAACAAAAATAGAGAAGAGCAGCTGAAAATTTATCTCATTCAATGTTCAAAGATAAAAGGGTTAACCATTCTTTCCATTGTTTTCTGCAGATAAGTCCTTTTTTTCATATTTAAATCTGATTGCAACTGAATTCTGGCATTTTTCCAAGCTACTGTATGAAGAGGATGCTGAAGGCCATCACAATACAGCATACCGCAACATAAGGACTCTTCCGTTCACCTGTTGGAAAAAAGGTAAGATATATTCACGTTGATTAACTGAGTGGTTAGCATAAGGTTATTACTTACTACAGGAGAGGGGCATATAAAAAACCAAGATAAAATTCTTGCCTATGGAGCCCATATATTTAGGGGCAGGGGTGGGCAAAACAAACTACATGCAACGTAAAAGTGAGTATACTCCAGAATGAGCTAAACTATACTGACCTATTTCTAAGTCCACCTCCTTTTCATGCCTTTAGAAAACCCTTCATGAGCCATTTCAGTGTCACTGCATAAACCCAGATATTAAAAAATATAACACAGAATGTAGGCTAAAGATCCAAATGAAATAATCTCAAAAACTCAATTAAAACCAAAGAAATATTGCTTGTTTTTTCCCTATAAAAAAGGGAAGTTTCCACCTATAAAAAGAAATTCAACATACAGTTTCTAGCCATACTTTTTTTCTTCATTGATAGCAATTCATGACAATTATAAGGGGTAAAAAATAAGCATTCCTAGGTGAAAATAAACAAGAGGGCGTTCAATCAAACTGCATTAAAAAAATCAACATAACGTAGAATGCTTAATAAAAACATTATCAGAGAAAACTAAACTATTTCTGAAATGGATTTCATATCAAATCTTTTACAGTATAATTACTCTGGGTTAGAGATGTAGAACTTAGAACAACCACTCCTGTATTAGTCAATTTTCACATGTGTTTAAGGAGTGTTTGTTTATACTTGGAGACTTTCCCTTGCATGAAGTAGATCTGGAGTTGGCTTGTGAAACTGTCTTATAAACAGAGATCCTGTAATTGTGAGCTAACTCAAACTCATCTTGTTCTTTCCTGTTTCTTCAGTAATTGCAAGGCTGCACAAAGCACCAGACATTTTTATGCTGCCTTGAGGGCACATAAGAAAGGAAGAAGGAAGGAGAAAGAGTGATGTGCTACTTCTAGGAATAATCCTGGGTATGTACCTGGTTCCTTTACAGAGATGGTTTATACTCACCTCACCTGTGTTTTTCTATGATGTTTAAAATAATCTTTTCTAGTAACTAAGTTCCATAGTTCAGCAGCAAGTTCAGTTAACTACTTCTGGAAAATGTCAATCTTGACCACTCTTATCAACTAAAACCTTGAAGGTCATCTTCATTTTCAGAGCTTCCTCACTGAGATCATAGTGACACAGTCAAAAAGTTTATATCTTTGTTCAGTGGCAATATTCATAGAAGACATTACACACATACAAATAAAATAAACATTTGGTGTCTTTCTGAAAGTTTTTTCTATCCGTAGACATTTAATGGACTGCATTCCAGCTAAAGGAAAATCTAGAAAGTGAGAAAATACAGTGTTTTTACAATATTATCTCAACTGGAAAAAAAAATCTTTTGAAACTAAAAAATACCGTGGTTCCTTATTTTTTAGCCGTGCTGATTCTTTCAGGGTAAAAAACTCAAGTTATCCAACAAAACAACAACAACAACAAAACAATCAGACCAAAATCTCTGGTAGATCTCATAAGGAAGCCTGTCACTCACCATAGGGCTAGATACTCTCACTGTCTAATATAGTCTTCTTAAACACTAAAAGAAGAAACTAATATTGTCCTAAATTTTCCATCTGCTGGAAATTAATTTTTGAGGAAGTTCTTCTCTTCCTCATCCTCCAACTTAGAATGCTGTAATTTACATATGGGTTTCATTTTCCCGTTTTTAATTTTCTTAAAAGAGACTGCCATGTGGTAGAGGCTAAACATCTTTGGTTGAACTTGGGTAAGAATGTTACTTCTTGTCTGGTCTTAGGTCTCTATAAGTGAATGTGAAACAGTTGCTGTAATGTGATGTGTAACATGATAAGATGATCTGGCTGGGCCTTTTCCCATTAAAACTGTTTCCTTTCTTTGTGGATATATTCTGTGTCAAGATAAGAGAGGAGCATGTGGTTGAGAAAGCAGCATATCACCATCAACATTTTCTAAACCACTTTGCCAAAATGAAAAGCTAATGCTTTCCACATAATTGGCAAAAATGAATAATTGAACCATTTAACCTATGGTATTCATATAGTCAAGACAGGAAAATGGAAATACATGGGCAAGCAAAAAAAGGCACAGTTTATAATTAGACATAAAAATAGGTAGTACTATAGGATAACATGAAGAAAGCTATAAACTAGATGTTTGAAAACTTTAGCTATACTTTCAAGTAAAAATTGTGAACAAAAGGATCACCTGGATTGGCTACTAAATGGAGTTGTACATTGTTTTCTAATTTATTACACAAAAGATGGATTTAAAATACCTTAATATTTTATTCATGAGCTAAGCAACTTTAATGTTAGTATGACTCTAATCCAGTGATAATGTCTACTCCCTCAAACTGTCTTGCTCTTCCATATGTTCTCTCTCTTTTTTTACTGAAGAATAGTTGATTCAATGTTTCAGGTGTTCAGCAAAGCGATTCAGGTAGATACACACACACACACATATATTTATACATATACTCTTTTCCAGATTCTTTTCCATTACAGGTTATTACAAGATATTGAATATAGTTCCCTGTGCTATATAGTAGGTCCTTGCTATTTATCTATTTTATATATAGTAGTGCATATCTGTTAATCCCAATTTCCTAATTTATCCCCTCCCCCTGCCCCTACCTTTCCCCTTTGGTAACCATAAGTTTGCTTTCAATATCTATGAGTCTGTTTTGTAAATAAATTCATTTGTGTCATTTTTTTTTAGATTCCACATATAAGTGAGATCATATGATATTTGTCTTTCTCTGACTTAATATCTAGATCCATCCATGTTGCTGCAAATGGCATTATTTCACTCTTTTTTATGGTTGAGTGATATTCTACGACTGCAATGAACATTGGGGTGCATGTATCGTTTCGAATTATGGTTTTCTCTGGATATATGCCCAGGAGTGTGATTGCTGGATCATATGGTAACTCTCATTTTAGTTTTTTAAGGGTTCTTCATAGTGGCTGCACCAATTTACATTCTCAACAACAGTGTAGGAGGGTTCCCTTTTCTCCACACCCTCTCCAACATTTATTATTTGCAGACTTTTTGATGTTGGGCATTCTGACGAGAGTGAGGTGATGCCTCATTGTAGTTCTGATTAGCATTTCTCTGATAATTAGCGATGTTGAGCATCTTTTCATGTGCCTGCTGGCCATCTGTATGTCTTCTTTGAAGAAATGTCTATTTAGATCTTCTGCCCATTTTTTGATTGGGTTGTCTCTTTGATATTGAGCTGTACAAGCTGTTTGTATATTTTGGACATTAATTCCTTGTTGGTCACATCATTTGCAAATATTTTCTCCCATTCCATAGACTGTCTTTTCGTTTTGTTTATGGTTTCCTTTGCTGTGCAAAAGCATGTAAGTGTGATTAGGTCCCATCTGTTTATTTTTGTTTTTGTTTCCATTACTCTAGGAGTTGGATCCAAAAAAATATTGCTGCGATTTATGTCAAAGAGTGTTCCGCCTATGTTTTCCTCTAGGAGTTTCATAGTATCCAGTCTTAAAATGGATTAAACACCTAGATGTGAGTTTATTTTTGTATGGTGTTAGAGAATCTTCTAATTTCATTCTTTTACATGTAGCTGTCCAGTTTTCCCAGCACCACTTACCGAAGAGACTGTCTTTTCTCCATTGTATATTCTTGCCTCCACTGTCCTAGATTAACTGACCATAAGTACCGTGGGGTTTATTTCTGGGCTTTCTATCCTGTCCCACTGATCTATGTCTGTTTTTGTGCCAGTACCATACTGTTTTTGACCATACCCTTGTAATAGTCTGAAGTCAAAGGGCAAGATTCCTCCAGCTGTTCTTCCTTCTCAAGATTATTCTGGCTAATTGGAATTTCTGTGTTTCTATACAAATTTTTAAATTATCTGTTCTAGTTCTGTGAAAAACACCATTGGTAATTTGATAGGGAATACAACTGAATCTGTAGATTTCCTTGGATACTATGGTCATTTTAACAATATTGATTCTTCTAATCCAAGAACACAGTGTATCGTTCCATCTGTTTGTGTTATCTTCAATTTCTTTCATCAGTGTCTTCTAGTTTTCCCGAGTACAGGTCTCTAACCTCCTTAGCTTTATTGCTAGGTATTCGATTCTTTTTGATGAGATGGTAAATGGGGTAACTATTAGAGCTCATCAATGAATTTGGTAAAGTCGCAGGATACAAAATTAATATACAGAAATCTGTTGCATTTCCATACACTCACAAACAATGAAATATCAGAAAGTGAAATTATGGAGACAATCCCATTATGTTCTCTCTTTGTAGTTTACGTGAGGTATTCTTACCAGCCTGTTCGTTAGCGAGATTACTTTTTTCCTTGAGTGACCTGGATCTTGAAGCAAGGAGTTTGGTGTATATATATTTACATTTACCATTAGCTATCAGCATTAGCCCTTGAGGGTGCTTTTTTGTCTCTTTCTCTCCCTCTTCTTGGTTACTTTTGAAGGGCTTAAGATTTCTTCTGTTGTTTCAGGGTTTGCATTGGGACTCTGTAAATGTGATCTAAAAGCATCAGAAAATACTATCTCTTGGGGAGATTGGCCAAGATGGCAGAGTAGAAACACCCTGAGCTCACTTCCTCTCACAAGCACATCAAAATCACAACTATTTGCAGAACAACCATCGATGAAAAAGACTGGAACCTACCAGAAAAGATCTTCTACAACCAAAGACACAAATAAAGAACCACAAGGAGACAGGTAGGTGGGGAAGACTAGCTGTATAGTCAAGTCCCATACCACTGGGTGGACAACCCACAAACTGGAGAATAATTACATTGTAGAGATTCTCTCAAAGGAGTGAAAGGTCTGAGCTGAACATCAGGCTCTCCAGCCTAGAGGTCCTGCACTGGGAAGACGAGCCCCCAGAGCACTGGCTTTGAAGGCCAGTGGGCCTTAATTTCAGGAGTCCCGTAGGACTTCGGGGAGAGAGACTTCACTCTTAAAGGGCACCCACAAAGTTTCACACATTCCAGGACTCAGGGCAAAAGCAGTAATTTGATAGGAGCCTGGGCCAGACCTACCTGCTGGTCTTGGAGAATCTCCCGGAGGAACAGGAGGCAACTGCAACTCATGCTGGGGACACAGACACTGGTGGCAGCCATTCATAGAGCTACTTCTACCATGGGGACACTGGTGCTAGCAGGCACCATTGTGGAATCTTCCCTCTAGCTTATTAGTGCTAGGACCCAACCGTGCCCTGGCCCAACAGTCTACAGGTGCCAGTGCTGGGACACCTCAGGCCAAGCAACTCACTCAGTGGGGACAGAGCCCCACCCATCAGCAGACAGGCTGCCTTAAGACCCCCTGAGCCCACAGCTGCCTCTGGACATGGCCCTGTCCAGCAGGGTCCCAGCACCCAGTTCCCCAACCAGTGGGCAGGCACTAGCCCCAGAAACTCCTGGAGCCCAGCCCTGCCCTCAAGGAAGCCTGCTCTAGCCTCTGGACCAGCCTCACCCATCAGGTGGCAGACACCAAATCCAAGAAAACCACAATCCTGCAATCTGCGGACCCAGCCTGCCCACACCTCCCAGTAGGCCAGACCCTGCCCTGGGACCAGTTGGGACATGGTCCTGCCCACTAGCAGGCCAACACAAGTTTCAGGACACCCTGGACTCCATACAAAACTGTGTCAGGAACCGCTCCCCATCCCCCTCAGTGGTGCTGGGAAAACAGCTACATGTAAAAGAATGAAGTCAGAATAGTTTCTCATACCACATATAAAAATAATCTCAAAATGGATTGAAGACCTAAATGTAGGACTGGAAACCATAAAACTCCCAGAAGAAAACATAAATGAAACACTCTTTGACATAAATCATATTTTTTTTTTGATTTGTCTCCTAAAGCAAAGGAAACAAAAGCAAAAATAAACAAATCAGACCTAATTAAACATAAAAGCTTTCGCACAGCAAAGGAAGCCATCAGCAAAACAAAAAGACAACCTACACAATGGGAGAAAATATTTGCTAATGCTATGACTGATAAGGGATTAATATACAAAATCTATAAACAGCTCATACAACTCAACATCAAAAAAACAAACAACCCAATTAAAACTGGGCAGAAGACCTGAACAGAAATTTTTTCAAAGAAGACATAGAGATGACCAACAGGCAGATGAAAAGATGCTCAACACTATTAATCATCAGAGAAATGCAAATTAAAACCAAAAATGAGATGTTATCTCGCACCTGTCAGAACGCCTATCATCAGAAAGAACACAACAAATGTTGCTGAGGATGTGGATGGTGGTGGGAATGTAAATTGGTGCAGCCACTGCGGGAAACAGGATGGAGGTTTCTCCAAACAGTAAAAATAGAGCTACCATATGACCCAGAAATCCCACTCCTGGGTACATATCCGACTAAAACAAAAACATTATTTTGAAAAGACACATGCACCATAATGTTCAAAGTAGTATTACTTACAATTGCCATGATATGGAAGCAACCTAAGTGTCCATCAACAGGTGAATCGATAAAGATATGGCATACACACACAAGGTCTCTCTCTCTCTTTCTCTCATACTACTCAGCCATAAAAAAAGAATGAAATTTTGCCATTTGCAACCACATGGATAGACTTGAAGGTTTTTATGCTAAGTGAAATAAGTCAGTCAGAGAAAGACAAACACTGTATGATATCACTTATATGTAGAATCCAAAAAATAAAACCAAGTAGTGAATATAGGAAAAAGTAAACAGATTCACAGATCTAGAGAACAAACTAGTGGTTACCAGTGGTGAGAGGGAAGGGGGGAGGGGAAAGACAGGAGTAGGGGGTTCAGAAGTACAAACTGTAATGTGTAAAATAAATAAGCCACAAGAATATATAGTACAACACAGGGAATATAGCCACTATTTTATAATAACTATAAATGGAATATAAACTTTAAAAATTATGAATCACTATGTTGTACACCTGTATCTTATGTAATATTCTACATCAACTATACTGCAATAAAAAAGAATACTGGCAAATAAAATGCATTTTAATTCATTTACTTACCAATCATTTGAGAGTCTACTATGTGCTGGGCACTGTGTTAAATATTATATACATAGTGTTATGGGACAATGTATAGTATATATTGTTATCCAACCATAAACACACTTAAGGTGCTACTAATCTTATTATGAAAAGTTAGAAGATATCCACATTTACACAAAGCTCAAGTATGACCACATACGTGGATTCAAAAAATGAAATAGTTCATGTTTTCTAAAAGCAACCAATAAGATTCTATGACCTAGCAGAGGGCAATTAGATGGTTGCTCAGTAAGCCTTTCATTAAAGGGAAAAATCATCCTCAGTTATCAAAATGGTACACATTATACAGAATTGCATGTTCTATACTAAAGTATGTGTGCATAAAACTATACACATTTGTCTGAAATCTCCCCCAAACCAGGAATGCATAGTATTTGATATCTGAATTAGAGAGACTTTTGTCATATTTTCCATCTCCCTGCTAATGAAGTATTATTAGCTATCTATGAAGTCTAGTTTTAAATAGTGTCAGGAAAAGAGTTAGGTGGAACTCGACAAACTACTGCAAAATGCACATAGTTGGGAAGGCTGCACTTTAAAAACTGACATTTGATTTGTTTGAACACAAGTAAATTGGCCAACAATTTACAGATGAAGAAGTGGAGAGAGATTATAGATACTCACCGATTCTGGCACACTTCCAAAATATACCCAACAACCTGCATAGAATAAAAAAAAGTAGCTACTGTTTACTGGGAAAGGTGAATTATTCAGAACTATATGGAGAATTTATTATATACTAGTATTTTAACTGCTGATGCTTTGCTTTAAACTGAAATGTAGTTGATGCTGAGCCACCACTTATGGAGAAGAGTAGGACACAATAATAGCTTATCAACCATCAATGTATAGAAACTGTCAGAAACTGAGCATATGTTGTGTTACAGGTTAAGCCCAAAGTAAACTAATGTGAGAGTGGCAAAAATTTGCACCAGGGCTTACTATTAGAAGATTGATTCCGTCAACTTCAAGTGCTTTACCTTCAAAAGCAGAAAATACATATGCCCATTTAAATAAATGTTAACTTTGAGAAAACAGTAAATGGGAACAGTTGGTTCTGGATAAATTTTGACATTAAAAAATAAAACTCTCATACTGAAAAAACTTACTTCTTACTGAATATAGTTCTTTATTTAAATGATCTATAATCATGAACTCCAATGACAGCAGTTACATAACTATAACATTAAATAAGGAGGAATACAAAAATATGGGCCTATATTTCAGTGTAATATATTCAATATATTTCAACATATATATTTTAATGTAAGTGGAAAACCCTAGTTTCATATAATTGTATATGCAATTAACTAAATATGCCATTTAAAACACATATACCCTGGAAATAAGAAAAATTAGACTAATATGTCCATTTCAATTCTATGAATGAATATATTATGAATACATATTATATGGATATATCACTTATTTTGCATGCATTAAAAAATACCAGCTCAAAAAAAAGGACAAGTCATTCAATGAACAGAGATATTTGGGAAAAAAAACACATTGTAGACAACTATTTTGTTGGTGTGACAAAAGAATAGAATTATAAATAGTGTTACACATGGTTACAAATCAAGATAAATTAACATTACTTATTAGGATTGGTATAAGAAAATCATAATGTTTAAATTACAGGGAAATTTATATATATATATATATATATATTTTTTTTTTGCCGAAAAAGAGACGGCTGGTAATGAATCATTGTTTTGAATGGTTAAGACTGAAAGAAAATGCTGATTCAATTAAGTTCTATACACTTTCCTCCTTTGAAGTATACAGTAAATTCCTGACATCAAAGCAGGAAGTCTCTTAATACAGATTAAATGAAACGGGCAAAAATACAAGGTTATTGTGAGGGATGGGCATTCTGACGGGTGAAACAATTTTCTTCTTATAGGAATAAAAAGGACAAAAATCATAAACACTCTTGAAAGCAAAGGATCAGGGCTAGATTGTGCCTAAATTCAATCCTACTTAATTGGTTGCATAACTGTGGGCAAGTTATTTTACCTCTTTTCTGTTTATCTCATCCTCATAGGGCTGTTACAAGGATTAACTGAGTTATTACACAGAAAGACTTTAGAATAGTGATTAACATGCGCTGTGTTCAGTATTACACAGGTTAAAGGTGTATGTGACATGACTCCAGGTATCACTTACATTGGCTTACATTTCATCAAAAAATGAAAGACAACTGGTTAGTGATCTGCAAAGCCCTGGATGCTTGATTCTAAAAGTCTATTGATTATAAAATGCATTACTGACTTAAAGCTCCTCTGGCTGAGGTACTCAGAGGCAGGACACCTGAAGTTCCTCTATGGGAAGCTTAGGGCCCCACAGAATAATCTGAAACCACATGACCACAGTCAAGGTCTTTTCAGGTCTTATAGTCTAGAAATAACTAAAAGCCTCATTAGGAAATTGGTATAACACACTTAGCATATTGAAAGCTATTTAAATGAAAAAAATTTCCCAACTTGGCAACTTAAGAGATTAATTGGTACTGCTTTGGCCTTTTTCACGTATTTCCCTACCTAGACATTTCTGTAGTATCCCAAATGCTAAAAGGAACTTTATTAGCTGGTAAAAACCAATGCAGATATGCTGCTTAGTTTCTAAGGATATAAGCCAATAAGTATATCTGCTGATAAAACTATTAAGGCTACGAAAATATGAAGCAAGACAAAGTAGCAATCTTTCTTTGCTGCTTTTTAGTTCTATATTATTTGAAGCAGCAAAAAATTAATTTGTTATTTTCAACAGTGAAGTTATCAAGAACTCATTTTATCTAATTGGTCCAGATTATCTTCACTTTAGCATGGAATACTCACTATAATGAAAGGAAAGCTTTTATTTATTTATTTTTTTGCGGTACGTGGGCCTCTCACTGCTGTGGCCTCTCCCGCTGCGGAGCACAGGCTCCGGATGTGCAGACCCAGCGGGCATGGCTCACGGGCCCAGCCGCTCCGCGGCATGTGGGATCCTCCCACACCAGGACACGAACCCGTGTCCCCTGCATTGGCAGGTGGACTCTCAACCACTGTGCCACCAGGAAATCCTGGAAAGCTTATTTTGAGTCTCATAAAAATACGTATTACAACAGAACAATGACCAGTAAAAATTTCTTCTACAGAAAATACTTCATATGTACAAGTCAAAATAAAAGGGGCTTAACATTTATATAAATAGAAGCAAAGTTTTAAAAAAAAGCTTTGAACAGTTGACTATATCATTATATATTTTAAAATGTGAAAATAGGCATGTTATTTCTTTGGTTTTTATGTAGGAGAAATATACTACTACTCAACCTCTACTGTAAGGTTGGCAGCCCTGAGAACTCCTTTTTTAATGTAGCATGTTATGGATGTATTCCTGCTTCCAAAGGAATGAGGAGCAGACATTTCCACATGCAATCTACTTTTTTTGTCGCAGCATCAGAAAAGTACAAATACACTGTTCTGCCACTATGAGATTATTCTTCAATGACATAAACACTTAAATTTCTTATTAGACATTATGTATTACATTAGAAATCTAATGATCAATGATACTGTTTACTGGATTCTACCATATGCTTTAATTATAAGTTAATCATTGGGGGTTGCAGAGGAAGGGTAGGAGGAAATAAAACTGGCTGGGTAGAAAGGCTTCAGGCACAACTAAGCAACAAATAAGATTATATAATTTCAACAAAGGGACAAAGTATTGAGTGCTGAGTTCAGAGAAAAACGTGGACTGATGAGAAGATAATGTCTACAAAGGAAGTGAGGCATTGTCAGAAAAACTGATGGACAAATAACATCTATTTTCACCTTCAGTAGGTTAAATAAAATCCCTCATGCCAATAGAGACAATCAGTTTATTGGAACAGGATTATAGATTTTCATTATTCAAAACTGGTTAGGGGTTCTATTTATATCTTTATAGATGTTCAAACAAACCTACGTAATAAAAAGAAAGGAATAGTAACAAAAGCCAAATGATTTAGATAATAGGATGTTTGAATAAATGTTAATTATGACCCCAAAGATATAATGGAGTTGAAGAAAAGAGAATTATTTCCTCTCATGCTTGAGTATCTACTACCTGGCCTCTTGTAGGGGCTTTTTATTAGTGGAAAAGCAGAGTTTGACCTTGCAGGATCTTAATTTGGCCCTTTTCCTTTCATCAAAAACAAAAAAGGTGCTGGAGATAATTAATTATTCCTATGTGAAGTATTCTACTATTTCATCCTATTATTTCTTAAGATGATTAAGTGAGGTACAGGATCTTACCACAAAAGAATTAAATACAATTGTGAATTCAAGAAATTAATAAATCTGTAAGGCAAAGAAAGTCTGCATAGTTTTCACCACATGGTCTCTCTTTTTTTACATACTTGTCCTAGTTGAACTCAATATGTATTTCTGTATTAGGAACATGGCACTTAAAAATTTTAAGTCATTGTGGTATCATATTAAGCTTAAATTTTTTGGGGGTGTGAACATATAATTGAAAGTGATGTGACATGCCCAAGACTGAATTTTCATTACTTTTTTAAGTAAGCTAAATAAATTTCTCCAAAGATGTTTGCTTTATGATACAGATGAGGAGCCTATATGATTAGACCAGTCTGGGAATGAAGAGGCAATGTCTATATTATTATTTTTATGGACACAGTGCTTATAAGATGTTTAATGCTTTCAAAATATGATAACCAATTTTACTAATATTCTATTAAATACTAAGGCCAAACACTGTCTTTGAGAGTACTAAATTGTAGCTTCAATCTCAGAAAAAAATCTATCACATCTTTTAAAATACACTTTTTTTTCATTCCAACACATTTCAGGTCACTTCTGATATTTACATTTTTATTTAGTAAGCTTCTGTGAATATAAAGATTTGGATTTTTAAAAATAGGGAAAAAATAACATAAAAAGTTATTACAAACTAAATTACATATAGGAATTAAATTATTTAATGACTTTCAATAATGACATTCAATATCTCTAAGAACTAATTTGGGTGATTAGACATTTTTAGTGACATACCCAGTTTTATTCCTGTCCAGGAGGCTGGGTGCCAAGGATCGGATATAAGCACAGGTACATATAAGCAGCAAGATTACAGTCAACAGACTCTGAAAATTGAAAATGGCAGACTAAAAAGAGAAAAAGAAAAATTAATGTCAGAAGATAAACTGCACAGGTAAAAAATGTCAATTTCATATTAAGAATCATACTTTTTTCTTCAAAAAGGCAAACAGAATGACGTGTCTGAGAACACTTTAAAAGCAGAGCATACTTTCCTCTCCATTCTTTGGGCTAAGGAATTCAGAAGATGCAACAAAAATTCTAAATTCAAGAACTTAAAAACACTACCAAAAATGTCATGAATCCAAAACAGCTCACCAAAGCTTAACCAATAATTAATAGAGATATTCTAAGATCCCAGACTACTAGGCAGGACATGGGGTCTCCAAGCTCTGCAAGTAAGCTGGTTATATGACCTCAGTTGAATATTGGCTTCTCTAAATCTCTGTTTCACATCAGTAAAACTGGGTGGAGAATGGGGAGACAGACTCAATGCTGGCTCAAGTTTCTTTCAATTCTAAAATTCTTTTAGAATAAGAATGCTTTAAGTAATCATGTTCCATTTATTGACTAATACTACTAGCCTATTAGATTTTGGTGAAAGAAAAGCACTTGCTCATTAACTGCTGATTTTTTTTAAAGTCATTAAAATAAAATTTAACACAGGATTCTGTTCCTGAAGAAAACTGTTACATGCTTATCACAATACTCATCCCTGAAGAGTGGACATTGTCTATCAACTCTGAATCTCCAGCACCTGACTATGTGCCAGCTGCACAGTGGGAGCCCAATAAGAGATGATTGAATAAATAAAACAATTTTTAAAAAGTGCAGGAATACTACTGTACGTATAAGAAAGAATAACATTTCCATTATATATAGGTAGCTAAAATATATCAATCTCACAGTAGCCAGCAATATGCTTATTTAGTAAATTCAGAAGTACTTCCCGAGGGGGATCACAATGGCAGAGTAGGAGGATGTGAAGCTCACCTCCCCCAACAAACACATCGAAAATACGTCTACATGTGGAACAATTCTCACAGAAAACCAATGGGAAATGGGCAGAAGATCTCCTATACAACCAAAGCTGCAAGAAAGACCTCCATGTAAGTAGGTAGGACAGGAAAAGAAAAAAAAAGCCATCAGGATGGGACCTGAGCCTCTGGGGGGGGATGTGTAAAGGAGAAAAGGTCCACACAGGCAGGCTTAGGGAGCCCCCTTGCCTGCTGGGACAGACAGAGGGGCTAGAGAAGCCTGGACTTTACTTGAGAGGAGTGTGTGCAGACTGGCTTGCTAACAGTCACGGTGGAGGGAGACTGGTGCTGGCACCTGTACCTCACCACACTTCCCAATCAAAGTGTGAATCTGGTGGGGCTACAAATACCTACAGCAGCTAAGCAGTGAATCTTGGCAGACAAACCCTAGGGAAAAACTCCATTTAGCTGCAAGGAGCTAGTCCTGAGGGTCTGGTGTGTGGTCCAGGTCTAACAACAGAGCGCACTGTCCCGATGTCAGCACTCCTAAGGCGGGGGTGGGGGGAAAGGGAGTGGGTCTGGGCTTTGTCAGCAGCACCTGGTGGAGCACAGAAAGGCATGTATCTGGTACAAAGCCTCTAGGGAGGAGTACTCGGTGCTCCAGTTCTGCCCACCCCACACCTCTGCTTGGAGTTGCATCTGGGGTGGACAGGTCCTGGGAGAGGCCTGTCACAGAGGCAGTCAAGGTCCCAGGCAGCAGCCCAACCATCTCGATTCATGCAGCCACAGCACCCTGGCCCCCAGCGCCAGCCTACTCCATACCACTGCCTAGCACTACATCTAGGACGAACACAATGGAAAAAGGGAAGCAACTTTGGACCGCATGGGAGGTACATAGGTTCACCGTGACCACATGAGCCTCACCTGCTTCAGCGGTCACCTCCTTTGGGCACCTCCTTGAGGGCACGCACTCAAGGACCGTGGGGCCTCATCAAATCCAACCCTCAGGGCTTCTACTCCAACAACTGGGGAGGAGGCCCTGACTCCAACAGGCCATGGAGCAATGAGGGGGCTCTGCCTAACACCCAGTGCAGGCCCTGGACACCAAAACACCAATCACATCCCCATCAAGGGGATAACAGCCAGCAGACTCTGGGGAGAAGAGGTGGCTGGCATCCATACCAAAACCAGCCCTCACACCAAAAATACTGGACTCACACAGAGTACACATGATGCTCCCACATTGAAAACACCCCTTCAAGACCACAGTAGAAAACGTTTCTCTTAAATTCAGACAGAAGTTAAGCAAAATGAAAAAGAAGAGCTACTCCCAATTAAAAGAACGACAGACATCCCCTGAAAGAAATGAAGCAGACCTCACCAGTCTCCTAGACCCTGAGTTCAAAAAGAAGAAAAATGCTAAAGGAATAAAGATTATCAATAGAAATGCAGATCACTATAACAAGGAACTAGAAACTACTAAGATGAAGCAATCAAAATTAGACAACTCAAGTGCTGAGATAACAACCAATCTAGAGCAATCAACAGCAAACTAAATAACACTGAAGAACAAATAAGTGATATGGAGAACAGAACGATGGAAATCACTCAATCAGAACAGCTAAAGAAAAACAAAATTTAAAAATGAAAACAACTTACAAGATTTCTGGTGTAACATTAACCATACCAATGTTCACATTACAGTGGTCTCAGAATAAGAGAGGTAAAAGGGGATTGAAAATTTATTTGAGGAAATTAGGGCTAAAAATTTCCCAAGCCAAAAGAAAGAAATAGATATCCAGGTACAGGAAGCACAGAAGGTCCCCAAAAAATGAACCCAAACAGACCTATCCCAAGACATATCATAAGTAAAATGGCAAAAGTTAAAAACAAAGAGAGAACTCTAAAGGCAGCAAGAGAAAAACAAAAGAGCTATATACAAGGGAATCCCTATCAGGCTATCAGCTGGATGAATTCTCTGCAGAAAATTGCAAACCAGAAGGAAGTGGCATGATATACTCAAAGTCCTGAAAGGGAAAAACCTGCAACATACTTTACCCAGCAAGAATATCATTTAGAATAGAAGGAGAGACAAAGAATTTCTCAGACAAGTAAAAACTAAAAGAATACAGCAATACTAAATCTACCCTAAGGTCTCCTCAAAAGAGAAAAGTAGCAAGAATTTATACGAAAGTGAAAATTACAATAGGAAAGGCATGGAAAATTACAATAGGAAAGGCAAATTACAATAGGAAAGGCAAGAACAAAACGCTAAAATATATAGGAATAATCTTAACAAGAAATCTGTAATATTGGCATCAAAGGCCAATTGACAAAGCCTTAAAACATACTGAAGCATACAAAAGTAGAATCGAGTGGTATGCCAGTTTCTTATATTGAAAGGCAATACTGTAAAGCTAATCTATAAATTTAAAACAAACCCAACTGCAACAAATTACTTTTGTTGAAATTGACAACTGATACTGAAATTCATATGGAAAAATAAGGATTGAAGATCATTTAAATAAGACATTACATTGATTAAAAAGAAGGGACTTCCCTGGTGGCGAAGTGGCTAAGAATCCACCTGCCAACGCAGGGGACACAGGTTCAATCCCTGATCCAGGAAGATCCTACATGCTGCGGAGCAACTAAGCCTGTGTGCCATAACTACTCAGCCTGCGCTCTAGAGCCCGCAAGGCACAACTACTGAGCCTGCATGTCACAACTACCGAAGCCCACGCACCTAGAGCCTGTGCTCCGTAACAAGAGAATCCACTGCAATGAGAAGCCCATGCACCACAACAAAGAGTAGCCCCTGCTCACTGCAACTAGAGAAAGCCCATGTGTGGCAATGAAGATGCGATGCAGGAAAGACAAAAGCAAAAACAACAAAAAAATTGTAAAACAAGTAGAGATAGTTATGGGTCAACATACTTGAAAACCCAGTTAACCACAAAATAAAAAACATACGATAGATTCAAAAAGAAAGGAACTTAAGCATAATACGAAAGAAAACCATCAAACCACAAAAGGAAAAAGAAGAAGAAACCAACAAAGTACAAAATTAACTAGAAAACAAGGTTTAAAATGGCAATAAGCACATACCCATCAATAACTACTTTAAATGTCAATAGACTAAATGACCTGATCAAAAGACACAGAGTGGCAGATTAGATAAAAAATAAGAACCTACAATATGCTACCTACAAGAGACTCACTTCAGGGCTAAGGTGACACATAGACTGAAAGTGAGGAGATGGAAAAAAATATTTCAGGCAAATGGAAATGACAGTAAAGTGGTGGTAGCAATAATCATATCAGACAAAGTAGACTTAAAGTCCATAAAAAAAAGGACATTATACAATGATAAAGGGATCAATACAATTAGAGGATATTACACTCATTAACATATATACACCCGGTATAAGCACCTAAATATATATCAATAGAATACTAACAGACATAGAGGGAGAAACTGGCAGAAATACAATAATATTAGGAGGCTTTAACATCCCACTGACATCAATGGACAGATCTTCCAGACAGAAAATCAGTAAGAAAACAGATGTCCTAAATGACACAATAGACCAGTTGGACTTAATTGACATCTACAAGACACTACATCCCAGAAAACCAGAATACACATTTTTTTTCAAGCGTACATGGAACATTCTCTAGGATAGACCACATACTGGGTCACAAAACAAGCCTCAACAAATTTAATAGCATAGAAATTATTTTAAGTATCTTTTCTGACCACAATGGTATGAAACTAGACATCAACCACAGGAAGAAAAATGGGAAAAGAACAAACATATGAAGACTAAACAACATGCTACTAAAAAAACCAATGGGAAAAGGATGAAATAAAAGAAAAAAAATCAGAAAATACCTTGAGACAAATGACAATAAAAACATAACCTTACACAATCTATGGGATGCAGCAAAAGTGGTTCTAAGAAGTTCATAGCAGTACAGGTCTTCCTTAAGAAACAAGAAAAATCTCAAATAAACAACCTAACCTACTACCTAAAGGAATTAGAAAAGAACAAACAAAACCCAAAGTGAGCAGAAGGAAGGAAATAAAG